TTAGTTACTTTTTGTTATCCTGCAAGAAAAAAATAATTTAAAAACAAATGAAAAGTGATCCCTTTCTTGGTAGTAGAATGTCTATAATTTTAGGACACGAGATTTCTTGGAGTGTAAGTACGTAAAAAGCAATGTGTCTACAGACCATGTGTTCAGGATTATGTAAATTAAGGTATACATATCTCAATATTTTATTGTCTTGTTGGACACCACTAAATGGTTCGTTCATGATGGATTTACCTACGGAAATAATTAAAAACAAAAAAAAATAAATATAGGGAACCCTTCAATGCAAGTCAATATCATTTTTCTTATACTCTCACGTTCCATTTTAATAAGACGCTAATTTTATCAAATCGAATTTTAATATACTAACCATGAGACTAGAAACAATGCAAAAACAAAAAATAAAGAAATATGAATTGTGTTTATTTTATTATTTTTATTTCAACAGACATGATTTTTTTTTTTTTCCAAAATGGATGAAGTGTGGACATTTCTGTAACAAATTTATATAGGTTGCTAATAAATGTTCCAAATATTGTTTTTACAGATCTGTGCAAGTTAGGGTACGAAGAGCAGAATGAATGGTATTTTTTCAGTCACAAGGACCGAAAATACCCAACTGGAACTCGAACTAACAGAGCCACAGCAGCTGGATTCTGGAAAGCAACTGGAAGGGACAAAGCAGTACTTTCAAAGGAGAACATAATTGGGATGAGGAAAACCCTTGTGTTCTACAAAGGGCGTGCACCAAATGGCCAGAAAACTGATTGGATTATGCATGAATATCGCCTTCAAACTACTGAACAAGCACCTCCTCAGGCAAGTTTGTTAACTAATCTTAAATTCATTCATTTTGAGACGAAGAGATATTTGTTAAAATGTAACGAAGAACAAATTTAAAATTCTTTGAATGATTACAACTTTGTTGAGCACAAACTATGTTACGACTGGACAGTGATCAATCAAAGGTTTTGATTGATTTGGAACTTTTTGCAAAGTTTGAAATTCGTCTTTCATCAAGAAAACGTCATAATGGTTTTGCATGCATGCGTAGAATTGAGTTCTCGTAACTTTTCCGTTCATACATCAATCTTCATAGAAACATATAATTTAATTATCAGCGAAATGATACAATTTCAATCCATTTATGCACTCTGAGCATAAATGTATTGTAATAAAATGCCATCTTTTTACTAATACTCCCTCTGTCTTAAAATTATTGTTCACTTTGAGATTTCACTTTTAGTACAATTTGAACTAGAAATGAAAACTCAAACTGGACAATAATTATGGGACGGAGGGAGTATATAATTTGTGTCCAAGAGTTGTTGCAGAATATTTAATTCATGTAAGATTTAGTTTGTATTTTGTAATCATAAAGAGCAATTTTGATTGATTACAGGAAGAAGGATGGGTGGTTTGTAGAGCATTCAAGAAGCCATGTCCAAGCCACAAGCAAGGTTATGAAGCTTGGAGTAACGCTAACAATTTCTATCCAAACGAAAACTACCACCGGCGGCCGCCACCGTCGCCGCTCCTCCACAATTCACTGACTTATGCAATATCCAATTTTCCGAGCAGCAGCAACGACGTCGTCGGTAGCTCCCAACAATTTGCTAACTATGCAGCCAATCTCAACACTCAACAACTCGTTAATAATGTTGAGCTTCCACAACTTGATCATCACGATAGCCCTTCTTCAATGTCCACCGGTACTTTGGCAACAAATGATCATCATCATTCTGGGTTGGAGAAGAATAATTTGGCCGGAGAAGATAGTTATGAAGATGTGCAAAATGGCTATTTCCAGCAGCACCAAAATGATTGGAAGTATTTGAATGATGCACCTTCAGCTTCTTCATATGCTTTCCAGAATAATCAGAACGTGTTGATACCCCGCGACGATGAATTTTTGCTTGGATACTTTACGGACTTGTAGCTAATTGATTCAACGACCACACTAATCCGATAATTCTTTCCCTCCGTCCCATAATATGTAACAGTCATGTTTTTAAAACTATTTTAAGATAAATAGTTTTGAAAACGTGATTATTAATACTATGGGATGGGAGAGTGACCAATCAATACAAGAGCGGTACACCAAGTGAATAATGTGGCAAAAGATTCTAAGTTTCCCAATTTAAGGAGGGGAACACTAATTGATGTGGGAGGGATTGAGATTCTAACAAATTGGTTTCTAACTTTTTGCCTTTTGGTTTGTATTGTTTTTCTTTAAATTGTGAATTTCTTGTATTGGCTGTATACTTGAATTTGAATTGATGATATACGTAGAGAGATTTGCTGGATTTTAAGTAGAGGGTTGTCACAAATGTCGGCCCAAAAGTGATTGTGTTTTGTTGTGGGTAGTGTCCACGGCTTCACGGTATGGTTAATCTTTTACTGGTTTATGTAATACTTTAACCAGCTGTTTTCATTTTAAAAAATCGTAAGTAACTACAATATTTTATAACAATTTGGTATTGAGAATTCCATCTAAACTAATCGGAGATTACATACTCCCTCCGTCCCATAATTATTGTCCACTTTGCCTAAAAAATTTTGTCCCAAAATTATTATCCAATTTGACTTTTTATGGATCAAGTTACACATTTGTCCTTAGTAAAAAAAATTATTCATAAAATCTTAGTGGTTAAACAATTACTTATGTAGGGGTATATCCGGTTGTTTAAGGTAAAATATAATTAAGTTTGACCAAAAATAAAATCTTTCATTTTAGTAAAACTGGACAATAATTAAGGGACGGAGGGAGTATATAATTGCTTTTTGTCAATGACCGTTGGATAATTTTAAGTTTTGGAACATGATAAATTCCCTCGAAAGATCAATGAATTTAGCGCATACAATAACTTATGTATAATTCACTCATTGATTAAATTTGAAGAGTTGGTAATGCAGGTGACGAAAATAAATAAGTTTTCAAATTTAACCAATAAACATAACGGTCACTATCCATAGTCACAAAAAATATCTTCATTATTGTTATATACTCCTTCAATCTTTATTATAAAACATTTTGATTTCTTTTATGTGTTATTTATCGTATTATTCCAATTGAAAGTAAAACCTTAAAGGTATTTTGTAATAAAAATAAATAAAATGTGAAAATTTATTTTAAAGATTTTATAAAAAAATCAAAATACTTTATAATATGGACCAGATGGAGTAATACAGAGATGGATAAGGGAAATAAGGGAAAGGGATAAACACGGTAATTATTTTCATGTTATTACTTTTTATGTTTACTAAAGTTTGGAAATGCGGTGGAAAATAACATCCATTAACATTTCTAGGGGTGTTAGTTAAACGGGTCCACCCGAAAAACCGCCCGACCTGAATTGAATTCAGGTCAAACGGGTCGGATTTAGGGGTAAACGGGTCGGTTTTCGGTTTTAACCGAATGAAAGTGACGGTTTTTTGGGCGGTTTTGGGTTTGGAATTTTAGTTTCGAGACCCGCCTGAAACCCGAACTAATTTACTGTATTACATAATTTTTATACTTATTTTTATGGAAGTATAAATTGATTTTACATTTTCTAACTAGGGTTTCACTACTTTCACTTTTACTCTACATCTCCACTGGCCGCTTCTTTTCTCTTCTCTCTCAAAGCCATGGCCGCCGCCCTTCACCCTTAACCTTGACCAACAAAAATCATCCCCCACTCCAAAATCGATTTCAGATCTACCTCACAAGAGTCACAACCCTTAACCTGGGCTGCATCTCTTTAATTTTTTTCGATTGGCAAGTTTAGAATAGTCATTTGTTGATTGTAGATCCGGTCAGTCGGCTCCACTCTGATCATTCGCTTACGATTGTAGCTCCACTCCGGTGAATCGGCTCCGGCACGCGACGCCTCCCTCTCAAATCTCAAGGTTGGTTGGCATGTCATTCTTTCTTGTCTGAAACACTTTCTTTCTGACGGTTTTGGCCTTTGGCGAAAGAAAATCCTTTATTCTCTTGTTATTTCTTTACAAGAAAAATTATTGATTAGTTAATTAGATTACATTGATTATCACCTGAGATTTCTTGTAATAGGCTGCCTAGATTTCATACTGAGATCAAAATTATAATTGTTTCTTGTAATAGGCTGCCAGAATTTTTTTTTTTGGACAATTTTCCCACTGCTTCTCTTGTGTTAGTTGTTAGTTGTTACTGTAGGTTTAATATAATATTTTTTCTGTATTTTTTGGTTTCAGATGTCTACTTTGCCGAGTACTGATGCGGTGATGATCAATTTGGAATTTGTCGATGATGCTGATGTGAAATTAGAAGATGTCAAGCTAGACGGTGATGGGCAGTCACCGAAGTCACCGAAGACATGAAGAGGTCGCCAAAGATCTAAGGTTTGGGCTCATTTCAAAACTTTCACAAATAAACAAGGTGAGAGGAAAAGTAGATGTCGATATTGTGGAAATGAGTACCATTCTGAAACAAAAAAACATGGAACGAGTACCCTTAAGGCACATTTGACATCTTTAAGAAAATGCCTTCTAATATGGATTCAAAGCAGACACATTTAGTACTTGAGGGTGGGATTGATGAGGGTAATGTGCATGTTGGGGCCTGGATGTATGATGATGATGAAGTTTATAGGGCACTTGCATATATGGTTATTGTAGATGAGCTGCCTTTTAAATTTGTGGAAAAAAAAGGATTTTTATACTTCATGCGAAAATGTCAGCCTTTGTTTGTTCGTAAGGATAGGCTTACCATTGCTAATGAATGCTACAAGTTGTATTTGGATGAGAAGATTAAGCTTAAGGCTGAAATTAGAGATAATATTGGTAGAGTTTGTTTAACAACCGATACATGGACTTCTTTGTAAAAAGTGAACTATATGACTTTCATTGCTCATTATATTGACAATGATTGGAAATTGAGAAAGAGAATTCTGAATTTTTGTCCAATAACAAGTCATAAGGGAGATGATATTGGGAAGGCAATTGAAATGTGTTTGCTTGATTGGAAAATTGACAATGTTTTTACTGTCACTGTGGATAATGCTACTGCAAATGATTCAGCTATGAAATATTTGAAAGAACAGTTTGAAAATTGGGAAAAATGTATTTTGGGAGGAAATTGGCTTGCATGTTCGTTGCATTGCTCATATCATGAATTTAATAGTTAAATCTGGTTTGGAACACATTAGTGTGTCCGTTGAAAGAATTAGGACTGCTGTCAAGTATATTAGGCAATCTTCACAGAGAATTGAAAAGTTCAAAAAATTTGCTGAGATTGAAAAGTGTCAAAGCACTAAGAATCTGACCTTGGATGTGCCTACAAGGTGGAATTCCACCTATTTAATGTTGGAGACAGCTCAACCTTATGAAAGGGCTTTTAAGAGGTATGAATCAACAGAGCCACAGTATAAAGAGACTCTTGCAAAGGTTGTTAGGCGCAATGAGGAAGGTGAAGAAGAAGAAACAAGGCCTGGGGTGCCTACTTCTATTGATTGGAATGAGGCCAAAATATTTGCAGGTATCCTTCAACCTTTTTATGAGTTTACTTTGAAAGTCTCTCAAACTAAATCTGTATCTTCAATTTTTTACTTTGAGGGTGTTACTTTCATTGAGGCTCTTTTAAGGAAACTTATCAATGAATTTGAAGATTCTAGCATCTCTTTAATGGCAAAGATGATGAAGGATAAATTTGATAAATATTTTGGCAATTTTGAATCTTGCAACATGGCTTTGTTTGTGCCTTGTGTTCTGGATCCTAGGAACAAACTTGAGTATTTAGAAATTGTTTTGAATGATGTGTATGGGAAAATAGATGGCAAGTCAAGAAAAAACCAGATTGAAAGTGGACTACATGACATGTATGCTGATTATGTGAAGATACATAACCTGGAACATAGTTCACATTCTCCCCCTCCAGAGTCATCTCAATCTTCTTTGGGAAAAAGGAATTCGCCCATTGATGTACAAGCTTCAAAGATGTTGACAGAAAAGTTCAGAATGCAATTGAAGAAGAAGAAAATTGAGGCTGGTGGTATGAATTCAAAGTCAGAATTAGATAAATACTTGAAAGAAGATCTTGAAGAAGATGATGGAAAGTTTGAGATTTTGAATTGGTGGAAGGTTAATAGTCCTAGATTTCCCATTCTATCTATGATGGCTCGTGATCTCTTAGCCATTCCTATATCAGCAGTGGCTTCCGAATCTTGTTTTAGTACAAGTGGAAGAGTCTTAGATGCTTTTAGAAGTTCTTTGACTCCGAAGGTAGTTCAAGAACTTATTTGTGCTCAAGATTGGCTCCGTGATCCTACAGAGAAGCCAGAGATTGTGAAGGTTGAAGAAACTTGGGAAGACCTTGAAACAGTGGTAAAAGGTAACAATTTAATAATTATAGAGTAATATTTAAAGTTAACTGTGTATTCCTTTTATTTGTTACTTACAATAACTTCTTTGGTTTTGTGTTTACCTACTGCAGATTTCATTCCAAAGGACAGTGACATAAATTTAGATTTGCCATGATTCATTATCTTTCTGTCAACAGGTGATTTTTCTCACTCTTGATTCTCTCTTCTGATTTGCCAGATTTCATTAGAGATTTTGTTTACCTCTCTTCTGAGTTCTGATTTCATTCTCTCTTCTGCTTTTAGAAGTTCCAGGAAATTGGCTTAAGAGTTAAGACTATGAAGAAAAGAAGCCTGTTGATGTTATGTGATGACTGATGAGCGATGACTGATGATTGCTTGCTTATCAAATTTAAAAGGGCCTTGCTGAGTGTGGAATGTGGAACTAAAAGCATCTAAGAAGACCTTGCTGAGTTGCTGTTGATGTTTTTCTTTTATTTGTTGTTGAAGGAATACTTTAATTCCATTGATTCATCATTCATGTTGAAATTCGTGGCTGTTTTTGGATCTTATTTATGTTCGGATTAGAATTTTTAAGGCTTTTAATTGTATTTCGGATTCGGTTTGAACTTTTTTTTTTTGTTGCATTTGATTCGGTTTAATAGTAAACCGACCGACTAACCCGATCGGTTTTTCAGTCGGTTCGGTTCGGATTTTTGTACTGTCGGTTCGGTTATTGAATGGTTTAAACCGTCTCAAAAACCCGATTCAACCGAACCGAATAATGGCCAAACCGACCAAACCGGCCGAATTAACACCCCTAAACATTTCCAACAGCCCAGGTTCGATATCTCTCAGCTTCTATTTTTCCCATTCTCAGTTTTTTATGTTTGGACCGCGTCGATTATAACCCACTCAGTCCAGGAAGCTCCAATTCTACTCCTTCCCCGCCCGCCGTCCGCCGCCGTCTGCCGAGGTGACGTCAGTCGTCCTTTCCCCCCTATTG